ATCCTAGCACGCACTGGAGCAGGGCTGCCGACATGTTACACAACACAGCAGAGATCCTAGCACTGGAGCAGGCTGGACATGTTACACAACACAGCAGAGATCCTAGCACTAGAGCAGGCTGCCGACATGTTACACAACACAGCAGAGATCCTAGCAGGCTGCCGACATGTTACACAAGCAGGAGACCTAGCACTAGAGCAGTTACGACATGTTACACAACACAGCAGAGATCCTAGCACTAGAGCAGGCTGCCGACATGTTACACAACACAGCAGAGATCCTAGCACTGGAGCAGGCTGCTGACATGTTACACAACACAGTAGAGATCCTAGCACTGGAGCAGGCCGCTGACATGTTACACAACACAGCAGAGATCCTAGCACTGGAGCAGGCTGCCGACATGTTACACAACACAGCAGAGATCCTAGCACTGGAGCAGGCTGCCGACATGTTACACAACACAGTAGAGATCCTAGCACTATAGCAGGCCGCCGACATGTTACACAACACAGCAGAGATCCTAGCACTGGAGCAGGCCGCTGACATGTTACACAACACAGTAGAGATCCTAGCACTGGAGCAGGCCGCCGACATGTTACACAACACAGCAGAGATCCTAGCACTAGAGCAGGCCGCCGACATGTTACACAGGAGATCTAGCACTATAGCTGACATGTTACACAACACAGCAGAGATCCTAGCACTAGAGCAGGCTGCTGACATGTTACACAACACACAGATCCTAGCAGAGATCACTAGCAGAGATCTAGACTAGAGCAGGCTGCTGACATGTTACACAACACAGCAGAGATCCTAGCACTAGAGCAGGCTGCTGACATGTTACACAACACAGCAGAGATCCTAGCACTAGAGCAGGCTGCCGACATGTTACACAACACAGCAGAGATCCTAGCACTAGAGCAGGCTGCCGACATGTTACACAACACAGCAGAGATCCTAGCAACTAGAGCAGGCTGCCGACATGTTACACAAACACAGCAGAGATCCTAGCAACTGGAGCAGGCTGCCGACATGTTACACAACACAGCAGAGATCCTAGCACTGGAGCAGGCTGCTGACATGTTACACAACACAGCAGAGATCCTAGCACTAGAGCAGGCTGCCGACATGTTACACAACACAGCAGAGATCCTAGCACTGAGAGCAGGCTGCTGACATGTTACACAACACAGTAGAGATCCTAGCACTAGAGCAGGCTGCTGACATGTTACACAACACAGTAGAGATCCTAGCACTAGAGCAGGCTGCTGACATGTTACACAACACAGTAGAGATCCTAGCACTAGAGCAGGCTGCTGACATGTTACACAACACAGTAGAGATCCTAGCACTAGAGCAGGCTGCTGACATGTTACACAACACAGTAGAGATCCTAGCACTGGGCTGCTGAGCAGGCTGCACTGAGCAGGCACATGTTACACAACACAGTAGAGATCCTAGCACTAGAGCAGGCTGCTGACATGTTACACAACACCAGTTCTGACTGCCCCCAAGTGGTCATCTTCACAGTTGGGCTATCGGTGCTACAAGCCCTCAAGAGTGGTAAACTCCTCACCTGAGATCTGAACTTGGTTGCCAAAAAGCGTACTGTACTCCAGTGGGTGCCACCCCACTGTGGTATACCAGGAAACGAAACCACCAAGGAACTTGCTAAGGAAAGGGCAGAATGCAAACAGGAAGAGAATGCAATAACATACTTTAAGAAGAAAAGGGTTATCCGGACTGTCAGAAGTAAACAGAATCTGGCTATACTTGACTGCCACTTACCAAGTTCTCAGTTTATTCCATCTCCATTGTCATTTTGTGTGTGACCAGCCGAAGACTTCTTTCGTTTGCTGGAAATAGAATATCTATATCTGCAATAGTCGGCTCTGTGGCTAAGTCGATGCGAAAGCTTCGTAATGCTGAGTTCGATCCCAGGTGCGGGCCATGCGCCTTGCGTTGGTTTCGACAGTGGTATCAAGAAAGCCGACCGTCCAGGAGAAATTGCAAACTACTGGACGTAAATTTGCCTAGAAAAACCACATAACAGCCAGGGGCTATTGGGGTTGCCTCTGCAACGTCCTGTTTGTTTGTTTGTTTTAGTATCCAGAAGCCTTGAGTTGTTAACCCTTAGGCTCGGTATTATGGATATCGCAACCTTTCGGCCTTGATTCCATTGTAAATACCGTAAATCTGGGAGAAAATGTGGCTTTCCTGCCTACCCCCGGGATTGAAACCCGGACCACAAGGAGTACGTCACCCGGTCTCCGCGAAATCCGGTTTAGCCAATTCCGCTAGAGAGCCGGGCTGCAACGTCCTGTAAAGGATATCTGCAATGTTGTCTCTATTATAAACCCCCTCAGCGACACGTAAAGTTTGGCTTGCACCCGTGTTTTTCTTGGCCACAATTTCTGCCTGTAAAAACGTTTTTGAGTCCCGGGGGGACCTGATATGTTGTCTCAGGTGGAAATCTACAGATGGCTGATACGCCAGTCTTCAATTTTTTCTGCCTGTAAATACGTTTTTGAGTCCTGGGGGGACGTGATATGTTGTCTCAGGTGGAAATCTACAGATGGCTGATACGCCAGTCTTCAATTTTTTCTGCCTGTAAATACGTATTTGAGTCCTGGGGGGGGGGGGGGGGGGGGGGGGGTGATATGTTTGTCTCAGGTGGAAATCTACAGATGGCTGATACGCCAGTCTTAAATTTTGTGTACATGTGACTGCGAAGTCGATTGTGCCCTATTCTAAGGCGTAGTAAAATGACTTGCTCTGAACTGTCCATAATCTGGTAGTCATCTTTTGCTGGTTTTTGGTGGCTTTCGTATTGATTTGACTATTTGCTTCATCTGCTGATGAGAGACTGTTACGTCAGGCTGTTTAGTTGCACCTTCCTTAGTTTATCAGCTCTTTCATTTCTGGGAACTCCATCAGAGCAGAAAGTTCTGGTTGTCCACTTCTGTTCCAGAACATGAACTATACATGCACATCAGTTTTACAGATCAGGCTCATTTGTATGCAGACACTTGGTTCATCGCCCCCAGACTTTAAAGAAAATGCCGCTAATTAGTCAACATATGACATGCTTGCAGGGACGCGGGTGTATTTATTTCCACCCCCTCCCCAGTAAGTATTTGGCACCCACACACATATCCAATGACTTGCAATAGAATTATTAAAAAAAATTTTTTTTTAAATATTACTTTCATTAAATAAAGATAGGTATATTGTATACTAGTTTCTGGTGCAGAACAAACATACATTAGCTCTGGTACTGCACAATCACATCAGACTCTACAATATTCAGAAATCTGGTTTTCCAAGTAACCCCTTATATGTGAATGCACCTTAACAAAAGTAACGGGTCTTGTAAATTTTTATGCAGGATGTCAGAAGTTAATGCGATACCTTCAAATGTTTCAAGCCATTGTCAACCCATTTACCACTGTTCTGAAAGTTATGGGTTCATTTCATGGATAGCATCATTCAGCTCACAAATACAATCTTTAGGAAACCTCTGGGGTGCAGTCTGTGCATTGCTCGGCAGAGACCAAGCCAATCATGTGGGGGTAAAACCTCGTTCAATGACTTTTAACTCAGCAACATTTGCAGGAACATTAAATAAATGTAACGAGATCAGTGTTTCAAAATAATATTTATTATCAACAAACATATATACATGCAAATTATCAGCAAACTAACAAGTCAGAAAAACATTATTTACAACCCACTCCTGATGGAGGCAATCACAAATCAACAAAATGCAGCCTATTTCTTACAAATTTCAATCATTTTGAGCAAGCCATTCCACAAAATATTTGTCAGTGGGTTCACATTCAAAGCAAAGCACATCATCTGTTTCTGTTGATGTTGTCAAGAGTGTGTACAGGTACAGACATGCTGATGTCTTGGACATAGGTCAGAAGTAGGTGTCAACTTACAAAGGACCCATTTTTTCAGTAGTACAACACCAGGCATATGATGCCAGATTTAAACTTTCATTAAAAAAAAAAACAGTTCAGATACCTTTACTTTCCAGGACATTACCTGTACCCATTTTGCCCGGCTCTCTAGTGTAGTTGGTTAAACTTGACTTTCGCTGCGGCCGGGTGACGAACTCCTTGCTTGTGGTCTGGGTTCACTCCTGGGGGTAGGCAGAAAAGCCACATTTTCTCCCAGATTAACGGTACCTATAATGGAATCAAGGCTGAAGGGTTGCGATATCCATAGTACCGAGCCAAAGGGTTTACAACACATAGTTTCTGGATACTTAAAAAAAAAATACCCATTTAAGGCTGGAACAAGGTGGGCTCTCCTGTCAACTACGGCCGGTTAGTCGGAGTACTGTCCCTTGGCTACAGTGCAATTACGGAGTGGAAAAGGAGGGAACGAAACAATTGACACAATTACTGTGTGTTGGCGATAGACAGCGTGCACTGCCCTGCTATAATCATACCGTTACGGTTTGGGTTAGCGTTTAGTGTCACCGCATCTCGTCTTCGCAGAAACTTAACGTAGCAACCCAAACCCTAACCCGTATGATGACAGTAGGACACTGCACGCTGTCTATCGCCAACACACAGTAATTATGTCACTTGTTTCCTTCCCTCTAATCCACTCCGCAATGCGTCGCAAGAAGCGGTAATTGAACGCGGCCGCTAACTTGAGTCGCAGCGCGGGTTCTGCCTGGCATTTCGACCTCACTTTGTTTTTTGATTCGTGCCTTCTCCAGTCCGTAATTGCACTGCAGCCAGGGGACAGAACTCTGACTAACCGGCCGTCAACTGTTGTCTACCGGCCGTAGTTTACAGGAGAGCCGTAAGATCTTAACTTAGTGTGAAAAATATTCCACAGAGAGAACACTGGGCAGACAGAGGAAAAAAAGGTAAAAACTGGGCTTGCAGACCCATGGATGGCAAGTGAAGGAGCTTGCCTGAACACGTCACTGTGACACACATTGATAATGGAGCAGTTATTGATTTATTTTCATAACAAAACTATTCTGCAGACAAAAACTTTCTCTTGCGGGCGGTGTTCATGTATGGTCTGTGCACCCACTCATCATCAGCAATGTTTAGTTTGTCTGCGGTTCCTCGGACTATCTTGTACACTGGTGATGGACACAAGAAAATTAGTCAGCATCTTTTAATAACAGCTGTGAAAATGACAATAACCTGTTTCACATTTGAGAAGTGTGTTCACACCTGGCCATACATCTGTATAAATAACTGGTAACAGTGCAATCTGTTAATAATGACATTGTTTACAAACGGTTTCACCCAGAAATATTTTAATATGTCCGCTAAATCTCAAAAACTAAAACTAACCATGTGGATGTAAAAGAGAAACACATCAACTTGCAAAGATTACATTTATTGAAAAGAATTTCTGAGAACAAGGAACAGAAGAAAGTAAAACGATCAGATGGCTATAATTCCAGGCCCTGGACCAACTAAGCTGATGACATAAAGACTCATAAGAGTGCATTTTTTTTTTCAAGTTAACCAGAAACCTGAAGTGGAAAAAGAGTTTCATCTGAACAATCTTTGTGTTTTTTTTCCTTGGATATTGTTCTACCTTTCAGCGTTAGGTTTTGAAGAGTCAGTCATCTGATGTGTGCTTGCAAATGTTGGCATTCAAGGGATGTTACATCTACCCACTGCTTGTCTCTTGCTGTAATTTAGCATTAGTTCTATCCTAACTTGTTTCTTGATATCAGCATTTCTGATCATGTCCCTTCATGTTGTCTGGATATTGTTTTCTTCAACTGAACAAAACTCAACTGCCAGAGACAACCAAACACAAAAGATCAATAAGAAGAGCAGTAACAAGTTTGTTGGAATGGATGTAAGGATGGAGGACAATACTTACATTTCATTTCAAATCTCGGCCCCACTTCTTTCAGCTGCACCTGCCTCTCTTCAAACTTGTAGATGTGGTGCCTGGGAGACAAAATATCAAACACAGAAATGTATAGTCAACAAACATTGAGGCCATGTGTCTCGGACTTCAAGGGTTTTAGGTGATTCACTCGCTGACATGGACACCTCTCCCCATATACAAGAGTCTGGGGAGAGGTATTGCTATCAGTTATGTTTCAACAACAACAACACACCTCACATATTTTGTACCATACAGTTGAGAAGTGTATCTCAACGTTACACTAACATTATATGGCAAAGCTGCAGCTGCACAGTGAATAGCTGCTTGCCTGCCAGCCCACAAATACTGGGTTTGAATTCACATTGATGCAGACTTTCCCTTCAAAATTCAATTTGACTCTTAGGTCAACTCAGCCTAAAACAGGTACCAGCTAATGTCATGTACAGTAAGAGCGACCAGCGTTATCTTGACCACACCACTAATGAGTGATAACTGAACTATAGAGATATGAGTCTAGCTTTACAAGTGTAATGCACCACTAGCGTAAAAAGAACCCATTACTTACCTGGTCTAGCTTAACGTGCCTATTGCAAACTGTACTCAGGACTATCTCAACAGTATTTTAATGCACTTTAAGTAAGGAGAAGAATAAGCAAACTTTCACTCACCGAAAGGAAATATAATCATCTTCAACTCCAAACGTCATCACTCTCCTAGAGTCTTCTTTAGGGACAGGAAATAGGTACCGCAAGATGTCCTTGACCCTCAAACCCAACTTAGATGTGAAGTTTCTGAAGATGAGATGAGGGTAGGCCTCAGACATGGTGCCCACGTCTGGGATATCATGTCGCATCACAACATTTGCCAGTGTGAAGAACGCTGTCGGGCCATATGGTAAATGGCAGACAACAAGGCCATCTGGAGGAAGAAAGGACAGGTCATGCATATGATGGTTCACAATGTACAAATTGATTTAGCTGCTTGGGAAACTTGTAAAAGGCTGAAGTGTAACTATTCTGACCAATGTACCCATATAAAATGTCTTTAGAAAAGCTGCAGAAGCAACAACAACAGGTAGCAGAGGATCAACATGAGATGAGAAGAAAATAAGAAGACAACTGTCATACAATTCACTAAAGAGCAGCAAATGCCTTAACATAGAGATGCTGACTGTTCCAGTTGCATACTGGTTGTAAATACTTCTCCTCTTTTAAACCCTTCTGACTGAATCTACACTTAATTAGAAATTCATATAATCTTGCACAAGTTGTTTCATCTAACATCAAATCTACCATCATTCATAAATGATGTATACGTTGAAGGGGGAAATTTGAGCAGCTATGCATGCGCCCAGAGTCTTGTGAAGATAATCTGTGTGTATGAGATCTGGAACTACACTACACACAGCAGATTGCGTTCCATTTCAGCAAAGCTCTGAATATTTGACCTTATTCGAATATTGGTCCTCCAATCCCCAACAGTGGGATCAGGGAATAAGATCTTTTGGTTGTTTATTTATCAGAACACCTCTGTTCAGCTCCCTGGGGTGTAGCCACCAGAAAAGCCTCTCAAGACATTAAAGGACCAGACTGATGTTATGTTAACACAATCGACATCTTTGCACATTGGGCAACTCATGCGTGCTCAGTCCTTTGATGCAGCAGCCACTCCAAGGTATCTCTACAGGTTGTTCCCATGAGAAGTTGGTTATAGTATCTCCTGCCTTTACCTTGAAGATGGCACAGACGTGTTTCACTAAGCTCAACTCCGCAGTCACGTAGTATTGTTAGCGTAAGAGATTTGCCATTATCCCCCCCCCTCAGTCTGTACAGCGTTGATGTCAGCTCTGTCCATGCTTCTTCTCATTGGTGCATTACTTGCCAGCTCTTTCATTACCATTTACTTCTGCGTGCCCAGGTATGTAGATCCAGATGATGACGGTTAACTGCTACTTCTGGATACTTTCTACCCATTCGAAGCGTAGACTACCTGTAGAAATTTTCTTGAGCATATTCATAGATTCTGAAACAATTAGCGCAAGTGTGGTCACTTGTTCTGCTTCCCATGAGCGTGCTCTTGAAGTAGCAGTTAAATCCATGGTCATGCTTTACGTAGTTGTCTGGTAAGTACCACTATCCTTTTTTATTGTCCCCCCCATCCTTTGTGCTGTGTATGTCTATGCCGATATTGACCGACGCTTTAGAGCCATCTGTGAAAATGACAACTTCTGGGCATGAATGCTGATCAATCAGTGCCCTAATCTTTGCCTCTATGGCAGGCTGGTGTTTTCGTCCATTCTTTTCCGTGACTGATTTCGTCTAGGTCACACACTTGTCTGATTAGATTTTCTGCCTCAGCCATCCAAGGAGTCTCTTTCGAGACGCATCTCTTTTTTATCTTTGATAGCTTTGTGCAGCGGGTGGTTGATGTCTGCTGATATCTTAATGTTCGCATTCAACTGTGCCACTCTATGTCTGGTGGCCATCGTCGGTAAACCCAGGACATTCTGCATGGCGTGGCATGAGGTGTCTTTTATGCTGCAGAGTATGAGTCTCATGGCCTCATTTTGTACCCGGTCCAGACATTCTAGCTGGGTTCTGCTGACAGTGAGGAGGCCCGGACCATAGTCTATAACACTTAATACAAGTCCTTGATATACCAGGAAAAGTAGCCGTTGTATAATGTTGGCGTATGCCATTTCCTTCAGAGCTGTCAAACCTTTCTTGGCTCTAACTATGACAATCTCTGTGTGATTCTTGTATGACAAGCATCTGTCTAAAGTTATGCCAAGGCATCTTATTGTGTTTGTTCTATCTATCGATGTCTATACCTCACATGCTCACGACTGATGTAGGTGTATTAATAATGTGGGTATTTAAGGAAAGCCATGTTAAAGAAGCCTTTGCCGGGTTTACCTGTGCACTTGATTCCTGGTACCACTCATTGAGTTGATCTAATTCATGCTGTAGCATTGTTGTAATTTCATCCCTGTTGTCTCCTCATTAATACACAAGGATATCGTCTGTGAATGGGATTTTTCTGCACAGACCTACTATCTGTGCACTGGTGACTAATGATGTGTACACAATAAAAAGAATGGGTAATCCATGGGGCCAGACCTTTAAGATACGTTAAGGTGTCGATGCCCATGGACCGCATCTCATCGACACTGTTCTATCGAAGAGCGCCGCTGCAATCCAGTTGACCCATTTCGTCTCTATGTGCGCATACATCATCAGTCTGATGTGCACGTTGTATGGAACGCTGCTGTACGTGTGGCAGCTGTGGCAGTTTCCATTACTGCTTAGAAGCACTCATTATGAGCAAATACTGCAGCAATGCATCAGGTATTGTTGCCCAGGCAGTACCTACCTTGTGTGGATAACAAAAGACTGGTTGGGTCAACTTTCTTCAAGAGTTTTCCTACAGTGTTCTAAAGTGTGATGATTCTTTAGACGTTTTCTTTGTCGTGATCTTTGGTGTGTTTAGCCTAACTCGCTGTTTGTTCAGTGAGGTAATCTTTCTTTCAGGGCTTGCTTGTAAGAGACATAAGTTACTGTCTTGCAGGCAGAGAGAGAGAGAGAGAGAGTGACATAAGTTACTGTCTTGCAGGCAGACAGGACAAGAACTACTGAAGGTGAGCCCAAAAGAAAAGCTTGTCACAATAAGACACATCTGGTCACAGGCTTGTCACAAAAAGACACATCTGGTCACGGGCTTGGCACAATAAGACACATCTGGTCACAGGCTTGTCACAATAAGACACATCTGGTCACGGGCTTGTCACAATAAGACACATCTGGTCACGGGCTTGGCACAATGTGACAATTTAAACAAAGAAGACACAAACCTATTTGGCTGTCATTCATTGGGTGCAGACTACAGTAAACACTGAACACAATGAAGCAAAACAGTGTCATGTCATCCATTTGAGAATATGAAAAATAAGAAAACACACCTGGAACACCTCGGTGCTCCTGAACCATGATGACATCTGTGATGTCATTAGCCCTACAGGCATCCATCAGCTGCTCCATCCTGTAGTTGCCTCTGTTAATTCTCTGGGAGTTGGGAAATACCAGCTTCATCTCCTGGTCAAACAGACAAGTACAACAATATATAACAGCAATAGACAAGTGATTCAATGCCTACAGATAGTATAAAAGTAAAGATCCCTTTTCACGCATCAAGCATATACGAAGAGCATCCATGTTTTTACAGACCAATTGACACTAGGTAGGTAATGTGGTCCCCAGGGCAGCCATCCTGGTACCCATTTTAGGCTGGGTCGACCTGTGGTGTTTCAGATAATAATAGTCATATTACAGAGTTAAAACAGAACCTTTACTTCTGCATAAATGTCGAACAAAAATAAACATACAAAACATTTAATAGCAGGGAAAAAAAAACATTCAAAAAAAAAAAAGGGGGGGGGGGGGGCGGGGGATGCTTTTTATTCCGAGGACAGCAGTACTAAAGAGAATATGTGATATTATATGGCATGCTAAGCTAGTTTAAAATAAAACTAAAAAAATGCTATTATATTTATCATGCACTGCTCTGTACAAAATAGGCAGTGTGCGGCTTGCACAAAAAACTATGCCTTTTGTGTATTCAGACAGTTCTAGGCACTCCTAGGTTCAATCAGAGACAATCAACGACTAGTGGACACTGCAACAAACCATGTTATCAGGTGACAGAACACTAAACAATGTCTCAGCCTCCTCCTTTGTGAGGTGACTGTTTACTGAATATCATTTATTTCATTCTATGGTGAAATACAGATGGCTAAAAGATGGTGTCGGTTCAAAGATGTGTGCAAGATGGACATAAAGGATATTAACTGGGGTGGATTGATTGGAAAAGGCTGCTATAGATCGCATTGCACAGAGGGGGAAATAAGAAAGGGAATCCTGACAAGGAGAAAAGGATTATCTGTTGAATAGCTGAGTGTCTGAGAAGAACAATGTCAAATGCTGCAGGTGATTGCAACAAAATCCTGAAATTGTGCACAATTATCATGCAAGATTCTTTTCAGCACAGGCTGGTCTTGCTAATTACTTGCCATCACCACGGGCTGGGATTTTTATACTCCCCCAAGCACAACAGAACACCATCATCGTATGCTTCGCCAAGCACAACAGAACACCATCATCGTATGCTTCGCCAAGCACAACAGAACACCATCATCATATGCTTCCCCAAGCACAACAGAACACCATCATCATTTGCTTCCCCAAGCACAACAGAACACCATCATCATTTGCTTCCCCAAGCACAACAGAACATCATTATCATATGCTTCCCCAAGCACAACAGAACACCATCATCATTTGCTTCCCCAAGCACAACAGAACACCATCATCATATGCTTCGCCAAACACAACAGAACATCATCGTCATATACTTCTTTAAGCACAACGGAACACCATCATCCAGAAAAGTGCCAAGAAATTTACTTCCTTCTCTTGATATTTTGTTCCCCCACATGAATGTTGCTTATGTCATTCTCTTAGCTTTTTGTGATGTTACTGTATTTGTATCAAATTTTGCTGTAATCATGACCATACCCTCTACCAGAAGCTGAATTCTGTTTCTATAACAGATGATGCTGATCTAGCAACCACAGTATTCCCATGTAACAAATGAGAGGTCTACCTTGGCAAACTGCTTCAGCTTGGAGCTGGGGTCTCGAGATGTGGTTATCATTATCTTAGGGTCCTCTACTCCTGCCCAGCGGTACTCATCATCAATACTTGTGGTCAGACCTGAACCAGAGAAAGAATGAGAACATTTAATTCACCATACAGAGTATCGGAACCAAATATTGCACACATGACAGGAAGACTGTTGCTGAGTTGAGACTAAAAATCAACTCACATAATTCTGATCAGAGAGAAGAAAAGCAACCTAGCCTTTGTCATTCATTTGAAATATCCGGTCATTTTTTTCCCAAATTGCATCTAGTGTTAATTTGTTTACAATTGAAAAACAAGCTTTCTGATTGTGAATCTACTAGCTCAACAGAACCAGCGTCAAGCCTCTTTGTAGACAGTGTGGGGTGTAAAGTGATGTCCTCAAGTTTAGCAAGACATACCATGTTTATGGTGCCAAGCTTGTCCATGTCTTCCAGGAACAAAGAACACACCCAGAACAGCATGGCCAGACTGACACCAACAGTCGTCACATTCCCATGTATACATTTGAGATCTAATGGAGAGGCTGAGCAATCCATGGAAAAGTCCAAACACATTTCAAACGCTGTGTCACCAGCATGGATCAAACTTGATGCACACCACTGATAAGTGGATAAATCGGTTTGTAACTTTCTGTAAACATATCCACCTGTAACTTTCTGTAGATATATCGACCAGTAAGTTTCTGTGTATATATCGACCGGTTACTTTCTGCAGATATATCCGTCTGGAACTTTCCGTAGATATATCTGTCTGTAACTTTCTGTAGATATATCCTTCTGCACATTGTTACGGCCTGCATATTGTGATACAGGGTAGCTATTTGACTGTGACCTAGACTGTCGTATTCATTGGATATTTATTTCTCCACTTGGCACAAGCACTCTTGGTAGCATGTCTCTGGAACAGTCAGCAAAACACTTCCTACCGTGGGAGCAGTAAGGCATGTGTAAAATACCCACTGATGGGTTCAGCCGCTCATACAACCAGGTAATATAAAATTAATACATGTTGTTATTATAGCATCGATAGTTACTACTATCAAATTAACCAAGTTCAAACAGCACAAAATGTAACAAACAGGCAATTCAGCAAATAGAATATAGATCAGACCTAAGACTATGGCATCGTGAGTAAAAAGAGATGGAACATACTCACCGACAATTACCAAAATAATAATAATCACATATGAAATTACAAACAATATCAGACCCTTACACAACATATATGCAGGCTACCCTATCAACAGTACATACCGTCTGCACCTTCATCCTCCCAATTCAATGTCTTCTGTAAAGATATAGCATCAGCTTTAAGGGCTGTTGGGATCTGTTTGTTTTCTGTAAATAAAATTATGTAAACAAGACCAGAGTTCAATTCTATGCATACAAATTATGTTCACACACACACAAAAACCACACCCCAAAAAAAACACGTTTTTATGCTAAACATGACTAATTAAAATTCAATCTTCTTGCACCAGTCACCCCCAGCAAAAAGCATTGTGGGTAGGGACTAATGTCTGCTCTTTTTAATGTGCTGCAACAAAAGTTGATCTTTTTTTTTTCTCAAAAACTGCTTTTTGACATTGTTATTTAATTTTTTGTGCATGGTCTTCCTCTGTGTTAATTATACTTCTCCAGCACAGCTCTCTTTGGCAGATGGTACCAGGGCGTTCTCATCAGATGGCTAAAAAGATAGATGAAGAACTAGAAATTTCCACTAAAGGTCACATCTGGTGAACACACACACAAGATGACTAAACCATCTCACAGATGCTACTTACAGACAATGTTTTTCACAATTATAAAGCATAACATAATTTCAACGAAATTATTTTGAAACAGGGATTAAACAATTTAAAAGTCATAAAAACATTTGTGTTTTTTTTATTATTATTGTAAAATGCCCATAATATACATTTGTTTTTTAAATAAAACACTTGAAGAAAACACAACCATAAGTTAATGAGTAAGCTGACAAGAAATAGCAAAAGATAACACAACAGGAACCAGCTGGTTTAAGTATAACATAACAGGAACCGGCTGGTTCAAGTATAACATAACAGTAAACAGGAACCAGCTGGTTGAAGTATAACATAACAGGAACAAGCTGGTTCCAACATCACTTGAATATAGAACAGAAACACAGACTGTTGTGTGACTCAAGAAAGACAAATGTAATGGCATTCATAACCTAGTTCATATATCAGCATATTGAGTGACACAAATAGCAAACTGACCGTCAATTGCATTCTTGAGTTTGTCCTTTTTCTCTTGAATAGTCCTCTCTCGTTCTTCAATAGTTTTTCTATAAATGTATTCCCTTCGTAAACGTGCTTGTCGTCGCAGCTGCAAAGTAAATAAACAGGTGTACCTATAAATAATTCTAAATTCAATGAGGTATACCTGGACTATGGATTGTGTTCTACGAGCTTGGGCACTGTTTACTGTACGCTGCAATGCCAGTTCTAGAATATCAAGTTCACCAAGACTGTCAGTGATACAGTTCACTAATGCTGCTCTGAAAGTCGCAGCCTACCCAGTATCGTGTCAATGTGCATGGCCGGTGTTGTGGAGATTTCTGGCACCGGTTTAGTGGGCTATCTTCCAAATAATGGTCCCAAATTATCGAGGCAGACAATGTACCCTAACAGGGCCTCAGTCACGTGTCAATTGCGCACTTCCGGGGACTATACCGCCACCACCGAGAGTATCCCCCACGCCGCTCATGCAGCGTGGATTGGGTAAATTAGATGGCTGGGACTCATGAGCAAATAAAATCAAGGCAGCTGCAGGAAATGCAGTAGCTGCTGCTCTGAGTCTCAGCCATCTAGTTTGTTTAGCCCCAATCCACGCCGCGTGAGCGGCGTGGGGGATACTCTCGGCGGTGGCATACACGTGTGCAGTTCAAGTCGCCGGAAGTGGCAATTGACAAGTGACTGAGGCCCAGTTAGGGTATATAGTATATTGTTCTGACTCGATAATTTGGGACTGTTATTCGGAAGATAGCCACCATTTTTTATTATATTTTTTTGTTTATAAACTGTAAGAATCCCATTATCCTGAAGCTTAGTCTTTTTGGCACTGAAAATGAACCTAAAAAAAGGCTCAGTCTCCAGAGGGTTAACAAACGAACTGATATGAATATAATAACAATTAAACAATCGTTTGGTTCGGTTAATTGTGCATGACATAGCAGGTGTTGGGGAAGGGTTACAACGGACAAGTTAAAGTTAAAGGGAAAGTGAGGCAGATGAAGATTATGATGAAGACATCTGACAAGAGGGAACATTTATCAGTGACTGGTAAACGAGACAGAAGAGGCATCAGCCTTAGAACCAGTGAACAACAATTTAAAAAAAGTACAACCCAACTCAAACTGCCTAAAGTGGTAGATTACTGACCCTTAACGTCAAGACAACAACAATCAGTCAATCACATCATAAGTTATCACTGCTGAAGATGAGGACGGAGCACGCATGGGAATACCCCGAGAGTGCTGCGATGTCAATTCTTGACTCACACACAACAATAAATTGAAAGCAAGTAAGATTTACCATTGCACTGGATGATGCTGTATGCGATACTCAGTTGAATAATAATTTATATACTAAAACAGACGCAATTACGCCAAATGTCCCGGGAGAGAGAGAATCGTCGATTTATCAGGGACATACAGAACTGAAGCCACACGCGTGGTACAGTAAAACACACCCAAACACCGGAAACAGGGTTGCCAGATAAAAAACGTCGTTTTATGCCAAACCATCACCCAAAATATGCCAGAAAATTGCCAAATAAAGTAAAACATTGTACTCACTTCACATTAAAAGCTCTAGATTGAATTCCTCACTGGAGCCAGTGGAAGATGTAGAAAAAACTTTTTTCAGATGTAAAATCTTTAAGCATTTTCTCAGATGGAATGAAGTCTTTGCAACATTTCTTTGATATCAATAGTTCTGCTCTAATTGTGAAGACTGCATTAAGAAAATCCAGTTGTATTTTGTTTCTTGCTTTTGATTTAGTTGAAGTAACAAGAGAGAATATTTTCCCAACTACAGCATTGCTAACGGGCATTATTAAGCAAGTAAGAACGAAAGGGCCAACTCTTTAAATACCTGGTGTCGAAGTACGCCTATCCAAAAATCTTCCCTGTTTGTAGGTAGTCCATCCTTCTTAAATGTAACTTCTTCTTTCCAGTTGACAAGAATCAATTTTCTGTACTGTTCTTCTATAATACTGATGTTGTTTTCTGTCAGGTGTAAAAACGGTAGCTCTGAAAACTGTGTCCTTGATATTTGATATAAAACTGCCAAAAGGGCCCAATTTTGACAGATTTTGAAATATATTCTCGGTGGGAAGTCTACAAGTAATTTGATTGAGAGCTTCCTCTAGCACAGACATGCATGTTTCATTAACATTGTTTATTTCTATCTGAACTTCAGTCCTGTTATTCTTCTGTAGGAACGCATTAAATTCCGACTTATTAACGTCTCACAGTCTGTTCTTAAGACTTTTCTCGTGCATGGACAATACTTGGTGTAGTTCAAGAGGATCAGCTTTTGTTTGTTGAAAAAGACTAATCACTCTTTCAAATTATTGTACAATTGGTGTCGCAAACACAAAGTACAAATAGTTATTATGGTATAACAGCATTTCCTTTAACGATCTTACTTTATATTTTGTGTCAAACGTTGTATGTGCTAATTCAGCACATGTGAAATAAGCTTTCAATTCTTTCCAGCTCACCAACATATTGAACATAATCTTCCCACGCACAAGCCACCTAATAGATGACAGTTTCTCAAATGGAAGAGGAGCAGTTCGTTCTGATTCAAACTCCGTAGATGTGTTCATCTCTCTAAACAGTTCTTTATAGGCTCCTCATCTTAAATCACTATAACAAAACCACTGAGGTATTTCTGACAGTAAGGAACCAATATTTGATGGCGAAGGAGACACATCTTTAATTCTTGACCATATAGAGTTCTTGCACCCGACCATGTTTGCAGCGCCATCTGACGCAAACCCAATGCAATTTGTAAGACTCTGACCACACCTTTTGATTTCCTTATAAATCAAATTAAATAAGTTTTTTCCTGTAGCCACTTGCAAGGAAATTAAAACAAGAAATCCAGTAAATATTTAATTTTTCCTGTCACTGAAAAAGCTAACTATAATGCACAAGTACATCTATTATTATGGCATATTTCTTGTTCCGAAAATCCTCAATAAGGTCATCCTTAAGAGCAGGCGATATAATATTTCTGTAATGATGTACTTCTATGCAACTGTATGTGCTCCAGTGTACTCCCCCTGACCATGCGCTCTCGTGATTTCACTTAAATGATCAATTGTGCGCATTGTACAATGGCAGGTCATGCTTACAGCAAGTTGCAACTCTGCTGCTTTAACTGTATCATTACTTTGCCTAGAAGTCATTGTTGTAATACTAATAAGCGGTGGCTGGCTTTTTGACGGAGTTTTCATCCTGTGTTTTTCAGATTTTTCATGATTCTTGGTTCAACAGTGCACTGACAAAGTTTACAATATGCTGCCTCTGATCCGCCTGAAGATCTTTTGAGCCATGAGTATGTTTTCTCCCAATTATTATACTTGCGATTGCTGTTATAAGATGCTTTCCATTTTTTGGATGACGTGGCCATTGGTAAAAATAAGTCACAGATAGAACTAGGTCTATATCCTATCTATTTTCTGTCCTAAAGTAGTTTCTGAACAGTCTGAATCACTTGGTATCAGTGGTGGGTTTTCGTTTTTTTTTTTTATCTCGCATATATTCTAACAAATTAACATAAATTACAGAGGTTTATAGCAGTCATGATCCGTTTAAAAAGACAACAAAACAATAAGAAATGGCGCGAATCTCAGTTAGTCCGTACCAGGACATCAAAGTCAAACTGAAAAAAAGATTTTAACTGTAGGTCTACATTGCTTTTAGTAAATTTGCGTGTTTATAACAGAGGAACCATGAAGAAAATGTGAGCACATCTTGATAAGAAATGCCAGGAAAAACCCAAATATGCCAGAATATGCCAGTTCATTATCTTATGCTAGTTCAATTTCAAAAATGCCAGATTTGTGAAATCTGGCATTAAAAATGCCAATATGGCAACACTGACCGGAAATAGCTTGCACTATCCACCTCGTTATTTATAAATTTCGCCTGGATATGGTATTCCCTTCTTTGGCGTTGTTTGTTTGATAATTCAATGAATCATGTTGCGTGGAAGGAGCAAATCAGGGAAGGAATGAGAATGACGGAAGAAAATATAGCAGAAAGGATGAGAGCAGACCATCTGAAAAGAAATACACTAAATACATTCCATGGCAACAACGATCCTGAAATCAAATGCTATAAATGGTGGAAGACTTTTCTGAACGCGGGCAGGTCTTCCTAATTACACTCGTCATCGCCATAGACTGCGAGTCCTATTCCTCCTCGTAGCAACTGCATGGCACCACTTTCGCCTGGAAAAACGGAAAGGTGCCAACCAACCGTGTTAATGAACAGAAATAAGTAGTGCTTTCTGTGGTTTTTTTACCCCGATACATATGTGACGGTTTTTGAATTAGGAATCGACATCACAGCACTCGGGACACTCCCATAAGCGCTCCGTCCCTATCTTCAAGAGCAAGCGAAGAGTTGAAACTTCGATGGTACCAGTAACAGTCTGATTGTATATCCGTCTCGCCCCTCTATCGAGCGCCAGTCAGATACCCTTGTAACTCCTCGCAGTGCCATTCTCCTCAGACCGTAATGATCTATCTGTTCCTCGGCTCTTTTCACTCGCTCCAAAAAGGCCCTCACAACATCCAGCTTGTCATATATCAGTTTGCCACCAAGTGGTGCTTAACCGGCCAGTCTACCCGTCTGCTCATTTCCCAACACACCGACGTGACCTGGAAAAAATATCCAAAGGATGCTAACTACCAGGGATCCTCTGAAGCGATGCTTGCCACTCTGCACGGATAATGCCTGTCTCCACCTTTTCAACACAGTGTTTAAAGAGGTAACCGTAGACACCACAACATGTCTATTACTTTGCAGAAGTTCTACAAATTTTGCCTTTAAAAAAAATTCTTATACTACGCTCTGCTAAAAAAAAAAAAAACAGAGCATCCGTAAAAGTTACACCCATTTGTATGGGGAATAGTAAATTTAAAAAAAGGAGGCGCCGAAAAGAAATACAAAGGAAACAACTGAGATGTTTCGATGACAATAACAGACTCAACATTCTTGCAAAAACTATAAAGAAAAGAAGATTGAAAGTTGATGAAAATCTCCGTTGGGATATAATCATGCAAACTGAACATTTTTCCAACCAAACTTTGCGGTTTTCAAACCATCTACTAGGGCATTTAAAAAAAATCAAACAGGACATTTTCCAAACCATCTAGGGTGTTTTTCAAACCAAACTGAACGTTTTTCAAACCAAACTGGACGATTTTCAAACCATCAAGGGCTTTTTTAAAATCAAACTGGATGATTTTAAAAACACCTATGATGTTTTTCAAACCAGAATGGGTGATTTGCAAATTAAATAAGTCAAAGCAAAATCGACACCGTGTATATTAAACAATTAACACTTCTTAACCTACAAATAGTTAGTAAACAAGCAGATTAACATCTTGAGGTTACGGAGATGTGGTTTTACAGAGGAATCATAATTTCCTTGAACAGTTAAGAAGAGCAGCGCAGATGTTTTGAAAGAGGCGAGTGCTCAAAGACAACTTATCCCAAACATCAGACACAGACAGTAATTTTTTTTTTTTTTTTTTTTTTGTTGTTGCCATGAAAAGAGGCAAATGGAATACGTGACCACTGGAAAGATCTGTGGAAAGAGAGACAGGTTAACTGGTACATTCAGTAAAAGTACTGAGATCATTCCTGGTTATAGGTTTCTTTTAAAGCATTTTATATAAATATAGGCATACGGAATGAGTGAGTGACTTTCTACCCCACCAGGACATCACACAAACGATAAACACCCGATGACACAAAGTGCCACCATGCGGATGAGGATCACCGTGGAGAGGTCCCAGAAACCGCGTTCAGACATTTGGCCATTTTTATGGCCTGCCTATATTGCGGCCCCTGGCAAAAGCCAGAGTGGGGCTTCAAATAACAAAAAATTACGTCCTAAAAAGGACGTAAGGACTTTGATATATAGGCATATGGAATATTTCTTCCAGACCTGAACAGTTTCAGAATTTTCATGAATGTATCTGAGATGTTTCTGGTCATATTGTATTTATATGCTGTTGATGCAAATCGTTTGCGTGTGGTGACATACTATAATGTGACGGTGGTTAAAAAAAAAATGTCATTTATTCTCTTTTTCTCCCTGTTCTGAATGGAAGTGCAAAAAGTTAATGTGTTGTAAAGTTAAATTATCCGTGTGTGTGTCGGTGATGGTGTGTTTAAAGCGATTTGCTCATTGCACTAACAGAGAGCTATTTGGGGGGGGGGACTGTAATAGAGATACACTGGAAAAACGCTTGTGATTTTCTTATGTCTTACTGAAGTGGAAGCCGAACT